AAGATAAAACAGAGATTTGTTTAAATGAAGTAGTTACAGAGACAAGACAACAGGCATCTCGTGACAAAAAAATATAAAGACAGGAGGCATCTTCATACATATTAAAAGAAATAATTTTGTTTAGAATAATGATACGTTACCTTTTCTACGTTTTATTAGGACTAGATCTTATTTCCGGGCTATTACCGAATTATTTTTATATAAAAAAGTTCATTTGTCGTGTTATTATGTTTTTTGTAAGAAAGTGTTGTATAAAATAATATTTAGAAACTCTACATATTAATATTTGGTAACATGTGCTTTACACATAGTAGCTTTCAACAACTGAAAAAACTGTTTAGCTAAAGAACTCCATTGAAAATTAGCTTGTAAGAAAGTAATGGTTGATGGTTCGAGTTGGCTTTTTATAAATTAAATTTTCGTAAATAATTGATACACTACAAGAAATAAGGGTTTTAATAGCACCCGTAAAACGCTATCATACGATACCATAGCGTTGTAGAAAGCGCTCCAACATCGCCCGCGATAATAGGTCTCATACATTGCATAGCGTTTTTTTTGTTTGCTATTGATATTTAATTATTAATAGCAATTCGCGTTATGCAATTGTAATATTTTATTATAGCATCCCGAAAATGATATTATATTAAAAATAATTATGAAAAAACAATTTTTAAAAAAATTATACCTAAACACAATTCATAATTAAATAATTCAAATAAAATCAAATATTAATTCATAATTAAAAATTAAATTTTATTAATTAATTAAAAGCAGTATACAAGTAACTAAAGAACACATTAAACCAGAAACAAATTAAAACATTAAACCAAAACATAATTAACCTAAACCTAATCTAAGCCTCTGCCTACAACCCTAATTCATCTGCTCCCGCCTCCAGCCTCAAGCCTCCAGAGCATCCGCCTCCAGCCTCTGTCGCATCACCACAGAAAAAACAGGCACGAGTTATGTTCTGTTCTTGAATCACCAGCCCTTTGTCTTCTCGTCTCAAGCCATGCTTCTTCTGATATGGAGTTGGTGGCTAGACCACTACCATTAAGCTTCTACAGCATCCTTCTCTTTATTTAACTGAGAACACAAAAGCAAAACCAATAATCATAACACTAGGATAGAGAGAGAAAGAGAGAGAGAGAGAGAGAGAGAGAGAGAGAGAGAGAGAGAGAGAGAGGCTACCGGTACAAGATAAGAACTTTGCTTCCTCCATATAACATTCCAGCGAATGCTATGACAGAGAACTGGGAACAGAAAATCAAAACCAGAATCAGAACACTCACACACAGATAGACAGAGAGGGAGAGAGAGAGACGAACCCAGAGAATGCTATGTAACACCACTTCTTCACCTTCCCTGCTCCATAGATATGTAAACAAAAATCATCCTTCGTCAGAGAGAGAGAGAGAGAGAGAGAGAGAGAGAGAGAGAGAGAGAGAGGAACCCGTAGAAGATGGGGAAAGTGACAGAAAATAAAAAGAATCTCATCCGTTCCTTTAATTCAATCTAAGGGTTAACCAAATCAATAACTAACCAATAGGAGTTAAGGATGAGGATTGATACAAGAATGATTTTGGGCCTTTGATTCAAATCAATCAATGGTTTAAAAAAAACAATACAAATTGTCTTCTAATTTTATTTATAACTATTATAAAAAATATTTAATCTTTAAATATTTTGATATCATAATTTAAAATTTTAAATCTGAGTTAAGTATTTGAATTTTTTTATTTATTTACGGAATTATTATTTATTTAAATTTTTTTAATGTTTTATGATATATGTTAAACTGAGATATGTGGTTTAGGGGTTAGGGTTAAAATTTAGAATTAAGTATGTGATTTTGAGTTTTAAACTATACTTGAAGCTTAAATTTAAAGTTTATATTACAAGTTTGTAAAAATTGGATTTATAATTTTGTATTTAGAGTTTAAGTTTGGGGTTTAGGGTATTGTATATAGGGTGTGGATTTAAAAATTTAGTGTATGAGTAGTTCTAAGGTTTATTTAAAATTGGATTTATGACTTTGTATAATTTCATCATTTAGTATAAAATAAGTGTTGTAATTTAAAATGTTATGATTTAGTATTTCTTGTATAGAGTTTGGAATATGATATAGGGTTTGGAGTTATAAGTAGGGCTAGGGGTATATATAGGGTTTGTATGATATTTGTGTGTTTAGATTAAAATGTTTAAAGTTGAAAATTATGTATAAAATGGAATTTAAGATATAGGGTTTGAAATATGTAGTTAGGGTTTAGGGTATGTTTAGGGTTTAAAACTTAATTTAAACAAAAATATTTTTATTNTAAACTCATAAACTTAAAAACCCCAATCATTTCATAATATAACTTCAGTATTAAACTAAAACTCAAATTTTAATCATTTTAAACTCTTACATTCAAACCCTAAACCCCAAACTTAAACCTTACATACAAAACCATAAACTCTTATATTTAATCTTAACATTTAAATTTAATCCTTTTGTGTTTCTTTCTCTCCTCTCTCTCTCTCTCGTGAACCTTTTCAGCTTTGTCTTCTCTCTTACTCCACTGAGCAACGAGGACGCAGGTTCTGAGGAAGACGGAGACAGTTCTGACCAAGCGACGGCCGGATCCAAACAAGACGACGACAAGCTCTTGGTGGCAACGACCGGATCTGTGAGACGACGACATTCTCATCTCGCTCTCTCTCAAGCATTTTCATCTATAATTTTTAAGCTTTCTCGTTTTCCCTTTTTCAGAGTTTGGTCGGTGATGGTGATTAAAGATGGCGGAGGAAGCAGGTTCGAAGATAACGATGGTGGAGACGGCGGAGGAAGAAGGTTTGACGACGAAGAAGACTCGGCCAGGAAGAACCGTAGATCTGGAAGGTGACGAAGACGGCGGCGAGCAGGTCGATGGCGGTGGTGAAGATTAGGTTAATTTAGGTAGTTAGGTTAATTAGGTTTAATTGGGTTAATTGATAGCTTGTTTAATGTGTAAACCAGTTATAAACCGAATTTTTATTTGTAAACCAATACCAATTTATTAACTAATTTTAATTATATGTAAACTGATTTCTAGTAGTGAATCTTAATATATTTAAATTTAAGATTTATGATTAAAACAAGAAAATATTTGAGTTATAGGATTGTGTTTTAAGTTTAAGTTTAGGGTATATGATTTATGTTTTATAAAGTTTAGGGTTTTTGGAGGGTTGAAAAACAAAATGGAATGAGAGGGAAAATGAAAANTGTTTTATAAAGTTTAGGGTTTTTGGAGGGTTGAAAAACAAAATGGAATGAGAGGGAAAATGAAAAACATGGATTAATGGAGGGAAAATGAAAAAAAAAGATACTTGTTATTTCACTAAGTATCTGGCGGAAAAATGAATTATGTGTTGTGTTAATTTACGATAGCGCTTAATTTTGGATCTGCAATGGTAAGGCGTCGACATTTCGAAAATTAACGCGGCTAAAAAAATATTTTCCCGCGATAGAAAACATAGCGTTTCAAAATTTATGAACGCTATTAAAAAGACTAGTGTTAGTATACAATAGCAGAATTGTCAAAAACGCTATAATATGATGCTATTAATACCCACATTTCTTGTAGTGATAAGTTAAAAAGAAAAAAGCTTCGTTTAAGTAATGTTTAGAAGCAGAGGAGAGTTATCATCATTATTAAGAACAGATTTAAAAAATTTGATAAAACAGGAAAATGTAAATCATGAATAAGAAGGTGGTCTTCTCGATGAAGAGGATGTATATGGGAGGAGAGTATTTTGAGTTAGAGCCTAAAATTAATGATTCTGCAACTATATATAGATATAATTACGTTTTTTGGAAAATAAGTATTTAAAGTTTTAAAACAAAATGGAGGTGTAGGAATTTTTAAATAATTTTTTGGTTAAGAAATATGGAAATCAAAACTGGTATTTGAAGTTCTGAAACATAATGGAGGTGTAGTACTTTTTAAATTATTATTTGCTTTAAATATATGGAAACCAAAATTTGGAATACATAAAAATAGTTATATATAACCTAATAAGATAATATATTTATGGAAACTTGTAAGATAATATATTTATGACTTTTATCCTCAAAACCCATTTCCATGGAGTATTAAATTTTTACAACCATAGAAGGTTAAAATTGCATTTTGCGCACAATTTATTTATACTAACGTAAGGATTAATATATATAGTCCTTAGCTGTATTCCTAAGCTTTTTTTTTTTTTTTATCAAATCCTAAGCTTTTAGATTTAAGAAATAATCATGTAGTTGTCCAAAAAAAAAAAACAAAAAAAAATCATGTAGTATACAGGTTCATTACTGTAAAACGAATTTTGCTCATGAAATCACATGGGGGTATAGTCATTGGTGCTTAATATTATACAGTTTTGGTTATAATACTTTTTCTATGTTATTTAAATTGGACTGTCTTTATTTGCGACCAACTGCTTCATTAAACTAAGATCGTAAAAATATGATTTATTTGATCTAATTGATTTTGCTAATATATAAATTGTCTAAACTTTTATACTACACAACTGTATTTGGAGTGCTGTGATTTGTAAGGAAATATGTTTCTAATTTTGCTATTAAGCAGATATAAAAGTTGTTAGCATATGAAGCGTAGAATCCTTTGTAAAATCAGACTCAGTTTGACCCAGGGGTAAAAGAAGACATAACCATATCAGAGCTCAGCATGTGTATTTCACGTACCAGGTCCTTGTGATCTAATGATGATCAACAAACATTTAACAATCAATACGTGATAAAGTAGATAATCTAATAATAAAACCATAATGTTATAAATAAATAGACTAAAGGCATAACCATAAACCTTATAATGAAAGTTGTTAAAAAAAAAACATAAAGTGTCTGCAATTGAAAAAGATCTGAAGATTCAAACAAAAAGATGGCAAAGTCTGTAGATAAAGAGAAAGCAGTGCTTAAAATGCAGGAAAATAAACACTGCACAAGAGGATAAATCTGAGCACCCTTAGCAATTCTTGTAACGCTTGGCTTCCTCTGTGCCAAGACTCTCAGATGCTTTTCGAATCCTATCACCACCAGAATCCTCAACACCAGTGGAAGGACCAGATTCCTCACTACCAGTCTTCAAAACATCACCGGTAGCCGCTGGAATAGCTTCATCTTCCAAGTCTGCTACAGGTTGTGGAGCTTCTGGTGGGAGTATCTTTGTGGCAGTTATGGCTTGTATCTTCCCGGTCAAATTATGATCCGACACCTTCACAATGAATCTGCGTGTCTAACTATTGCATCAAGTAAAGCTTGCGGTACATGCACCCATTCATCATATCCTACGCCTTAATTACACTAACATACAAGGAAAAGAAATATGAGTACAAATAATATGGAAGTATGTGTATACAGTTTAGAAATTACCTCAACTCTTTGCCAGCGTTCACCCAGAATCACAAAAACCGCTTGTTGACTCTTATCATAATCAGATACCTTCGTAAGATATCTGCAATAAAAGAAGATTACATATTAGGGTAGTAATAAGTAAAAGCAAATATGTATGCGACACATACTGGGGGACGCCAGCAACTTCATTTTTCTCACACTTCTAATTGGTACAAATCAGGGAGGTAGGCCCTTTGATTGCCTTACTATTGCACCCACCGCAAGAAATATAATACCAAGGACAACCATGGACTACATCATCTATAGTTGTTGTGCATTCAAACCAAGCAACCTTCCATTGCAAAAAAAATAAACACAACTCATAAATACTCAATCATATAACAACAATTTTAAAAACAGAATAGCGCTTGTACCTTAGCAATTTCTAGCTTCATGTAGGAGAATATCTCCTCTAGAGTCATTGCCTCTGGCTTAGTCACAAACTCTGCATTAATTTTATTAGCAATTTCCGAATTAGACGCAAGCCTGAGGAAAATGACGAACCAAAAATCAAGTTAGATCTGAATTTGCATGAAATGCCAAATCAGAAGCTGCATGGACATATTATTGAACACATAAATTCCTACCATCCAAGATAATCCTTGGCAGGCTGGACATCTGCATCCATAAACACTTGAGATGATGCCATTGAAGAGAGAGTAAGGGTTTGTTGGGGCCAAAATCGGTACAATGGAATCAATGACTAAAACTTTCCGCAAAAATAAAAAACACGTTTTATAAAACCCGAGAAATTGTTTGATAAAATTCTAACGACTTTCCGAACAAAGGAAATCCGCGGAAAACTTGGAAATCGTCATCTCGTAAAAATAAACGAAACAATCGCTGATTACACAATTTCCCAAGTTAAGCGAAAAACCGCAAAAAACCGCATCCGCCGTAAACCGCGAGCAGGTTTGACCGAACCAGTTCAACGTACGACGAGCCGAACCATCCGGTTTAGCTCGCCGTACAGTGAACTGGTCGGTCCCGGACCAGCTCGCCGTACGGCAAACTGGTCGGTCCCAGACCAGCTCGCCGTACGGCGAGCTTGTCGCCTCAATGCAGCTCGCCGTACGGCGAGCTTGTCGCCTCAATGCAGCTCGCCGTACGTCGAGCTGACTGTCCCGAGCCTCGATTTCCCACATCCTTGACGCAAGGCATACATCCTTCCGTTCGATCATGCTCTGAACCATGGTCGAAACCTCTCTCATTTCGTCTCGATCCTTCTTACCGTTCAAGTTTTACGATAAAAATCGTAAAAGTCTTCTTTTCTCGTAAAGTTCGGGAAGATCGTATAAAACGGCAACGATTAGACGGAACATCGTATATTTCCAACCTATGCGATTAACTCGAAAAATATTATAAAATCGACACCGTATCAGGAAACGATCTCGTCTAAAATCATAAAACGGTTTTTATCGCAAAACGGCTCGGACAGCCTAAAAGCGCGATAAAAGCCCACTTGCGACTTTTAACGAAATCAAGCGCAAAGATGCAATGACGGTTTGACGATTTACTCGCAGAAAGAAGATAAATGTCAAGTTTGAAGATAAATAGAAGATTTCCACAAGAAAAATGGAAAGATCGAGATAAATGGAAGATTCTCGATAAATCTAGGCGAAAAGGAAGGACTAAACCGCCTAAGGAGGGAGTATATAGGCAGAAGGCCAAGGACAGAACAAAGGGACGAGTTTTCAAGAGCTTTCACCACCAAAACTTAGCATTTAGGCAGCTTTGTGTTTTTGTTATCGAGCTGCGTCTCAACTAGGGTTTAGGTCTTAGATTACTAGAACTAGGGATCTCGCCGACGGCTCACGCAGCTAAGGCTACTCTTGTTGTACCGTTCTTACGCAAATTCGGAATAAGACTCCTTCTTGCTCTCAATCTCGTTTCTTACATCTTTACTTTACTATTCATATTGTGTTCTTGATTGCTTGTGTGCGGTTCCACAGATAGCAGGGTCCTCTGGGAAATTAGGGTTTACTCTAAATTACTAAATTTAAGTAAAATTGACAGGGGTGAATTTCGGTTCTCACAGTTTGGCGCTAGAAGGAGGGGGGAGGGGGTCGGATCTATTTACACTCAAGCCGCAGCACGCTCAATCGAGAAGCGATGTCTGAAGAACAACCAACTCGCGTCGATGGCGACAACATGGAAAATACACCAGATCCCGATGCGCCCACGGTTAACGCTAATGCTAACACCGAAGCCGTCGAGAAGATGCTTTCCGATTTCAACAAGAACCAGGGCAAATCGCCCCCGTAGAACTACTAGGATCCGCAGAAGAAGTCTCAATTTCGGAACTCCTTTGGATCGCCCCAGAACCGATCAGAGAAATATGCCGGAGCAAAAATCCAAAAAAGATAACCCTGACGCGACGCTGAACGTATCGGACAAATCTCCTACTCGCAGACAAGAGACCAAAGAAGACGGCGTCGAAAGGGTTAACCTAGAAACGAGCAAACAATCTGATCCATCGCAGACATCCATCCGCGGAGAAGGAAGGATTGCAGTCCTCAGCCGGAATCCTCTCCTGAGTGTTCTCTTACTGAGGACAAGGAGGAGTTGTACTGCGTGCAATGCCCAAAAACGGCCGAGGAACGATATCAAGTTACTCGCAGCAAACGCCGACGAAATTGAAAAACTGCTGGCAAACTAACAGAGATTCGCGATCCGGGACTACATTAATAAAATGGCCGCAGAGGTAAAAGCGGTGAAATCTAAAATTCACCATGCTACCAGCGCTGTGCCCGTAATAGATTGGCTGCTATATGAATCTCGGAAAACGCCTTTTACGACTCGCATTACCGAGGTCAACCTACCCGATCCGGAAAACCTCAGAGTGCCAACCTATGACGGGATAACCGATCCCAAAGTGCACCTGCAGGCCTTCCAGACTACCATGGGACAAACCAAGCTCAAGGATCACGAAAAAGACGCGGGCTTTTGCCGTCTTTTCGTCGAAAACCTAGAAGGAGCGGCGCTCGAGTGGTTCGCCAAGCTTAAGCGGAATTCAATCGGGAGTTTCCGCGAGCTTGCTTCCGAATTCCTAAAGCAATACTCGATGTTTATAAATCGGGAAACTTCCGACGCCGACCTCTGGAGCATATCTCAGAAGGAAGAAAAACCTCTCAACGACTTCATGAGCAAGTTCAAACTTATCATGGCTAGGGTAAGCGGAATAAGTGACAGAATCGCCATCGATGCGCTCAGAAAATCGCTCTGGTTCAAGTCGAAGTTTTGAAAGTGGATAACGCTCGAGAAACCGCGGACGATCTAAGACGCGCTCCACAAAGCGACAGATTACATAACCATTGAAGAGGAGACTAAAATCTTGTCTGAAAAGCATAAGCCGGTGAAAGCGTTCGCAAAGGAAATCGCGTCAGAGCAGAAGCCGAAAAAGAAAAACCCTCATAACGACAAATACGTCCATCATGGGGACATGATCTCGAAGGGGCGCACAACTACGCCATCAATTCCGGATCGGAACAAGGGAGAACTACGGGAAACACGTGGTCAAGGAATCTGAATTACGACGAAAATTCCTTCTGTGATCTCCACTAAACTCGCGGACACTCTACCATGAACTGCAAAGTTCTCGGCGCCAGACTGGCCGCAAAATTGCTCGCCGGAGAAGTCTCTGAGGTATCAAGCGTAAAGGACCTCATCCGCGATTCAGATCGCCCCCTGAAAAACGATAGGAACTCGCGTGCGGAATCTCCACCTCAAGGGAACCAGTTGGGCGAGAAACACAGACGAAGACAAGACGAGAAAGATAACGACGCTAACCGCCAAAATCGAGAACGTTACTTCTAGATCGCGGAAAAAAAATGCAATTCACATGTATTAACAAAACCGGAGAAACCGAGATAATACCTTTGTACCTGAATTGACCAAAACCGAGAAATCTCGAGTCTTTCAGATTCTAAAAAACAGAGCACGGGCATGAAATATCATAACTTCCACCACTAAAAACAGAGCAGAGCATGATAAGATCTGATCAAAATTCCTACACTCTGATGAAACCAATCTTCACAGATGAGTAATGAATGACGAAAACAAAGAAAGCTCAAGCCGTCCATATTTTAAAAACAGACCAAAATGGAATGAAAAAATATTAGAGAGATTAAAGCGAGGGGAAAATTGGAGGGTGTGTCGATGAGATAGAGAAACAGAAACGAGAAAGAGGGAGAGCAAAGAGCAATCGATCCGTCGACGCAAAACTCAGGTTTCGCAAGAAAGGGAAAAGGGATTCGCAGAAAAGGGAATTCGGGCAAAAATGTCGGTGATGAAAACAACGTCAATTCTACAAATCGGTTTTGTCTTGGGCCATAGTTTATTGAAACACAACAGGCCTGCACCAATTTAAACCCAACAAAGATTTACATCTGACGTGGCGGAACGTTTTAATTCTATTGGTAGAATATATTAGTAGACGTGGACAGATCCAAAAGCCTTTATTAAGAGCTTTTAATACACAAAAATAAAGACAAAAGAATACACAATCTTACCCAATCTGCAAGAGGCTTTCAAAGACACTGAGTTCATATTCCAGCTAAACAGTTTTTGTTGATAATCATATGGATGACTGAAAGATTGTCTTGATCACATGTTCTAGATCCTGTTCACAGAACAAAAGATAATATGCATTATTGGCAGAGAAGACACTGGTTCTGCCGCTGTGTTTGGTCGGTATGTCGGAGGAGACTAACCCAATTCTGACCCAATAAATCATACGCTGAGAATACAGTTTTATGAACAATAACTCCATGAAACTCCTAAAGTGTTTGCTTAAACCAAAACCTAAATAAGTGTCTATTTGCTGTTAGAAAATATATGGTTGACCGTTTTGTCATTTACATTATCTTTATATCAGCGAAGACGCAACCTGAAGACATGTAAACCACTCTAAAAAAAACATTGCCACAGATTGCAATACACTTCGCCATTCATGGTAGCACTATCTCCAGGTGGCTATTTTAATTTGAAAGATTATCAATGTGTGAGTTAGAGACTGTTAAATGATCCAGAACTCTCACTTTTTCAGAATATATAATTGTCGATGAAGTTCTATCAAAGATCTCTCGAATCTATGTTTTTCACTTTCTGATTTAAGAAGCAAAACCCAGAAAAAAAATTAAAAAGAGATT